GGAGCTAATCCTCAGCGTGGGTGACTGGAGTGGCCAGAGCTCCAAGGCTGGTGCGAGGTGAGGCCATGAGGGCCTGGTGCTCACAGAGCTGGGGGAACATGGACCAGCCCAGCTCTCCCAGTGTCCCCCAAGCCCGGCAGGGAGGAAGAGCGTCAGTGATGTCATCATCGTCCTGTTCAGGGTGCTGGGGTTACAGGCGATTGTAAATTAGATTTCCACACCATCGAAGTGCCCGCGGGACATTTTCTTTTCCCTGAAATGTTAACAACACACAAACGCTAGAGTTGTTGCTCTCCTCTGCCCTGGATCCATGGCCTGATGGGGTGGTTGCTCTGCAGTGGTTGATAACCTGCAGCGGGAGGGAGCCCTGCCTGCCCGTGGAGTCCCCTGGCCTCCCTCCAGCCCCTCACTGCCCTGAGCCCCAGTAGCCTGGCCAGGGGCAAGGAGGTCTCCTCTTCCTCACACCCTGGATGCAGCGAGGGGGCAGGGCTCACTCCGAGCTAGGGCCTGTGACCCCGGCCCTGGGGGCTGATTTGGAGGCGGGAGCGCCTCAGTGCCTCTCACATCCCAAGAAGGAGGCCAGCGGCCTCCACCATCCCGGCCTGCAGCCCCAGGGTCACCTAGGGCTGCTGCCTGCCTGGGCATCGTGCGGAGGCCAGGGGTTCAGGAGCCTCTGTCTCTTCCTACCCAGGAATGTGATCGAGCCATTCCCTGATGTGGGGCAGGGGCGGCGAGGGGAGGGGAGGTGGAGCCAGGCTGGGCCAGGCGGGCAGACACCAGGGGTCAGCGGGAGGGTGGGCCGGCCCGGGGGGGATGCTGTCGTCCGTCTGCAGCGCCAGCTCTTCTGCACGCTGCCTCCCGGGACGGGCCATGGCCTCGCTGGGCCATACGTCTCTGTCAAAATCTCTATGAATAAATTAACCTTTTTAAAGATTAGTGCACTCTAATACCTCAGGGTTTTTTAAACAGAGCAAATGCTACGCATATTTTGCTGAGCATGCCTAGTGTGCAGGGCTGCCGTTGGCAAAGGCCCCACCTAGCATCCCTCCATGGGGCGGCCCTGCCAGCTGGACCTCCACCCAGGCCGCCCTGGCAGCCCAGCGGCAGGTGCCGGCCCCCTCGGGGGAGAAGCATCGCCCTGTAGGGCGGAAAGTTGAGGGCGTTCACCCCGGCCACCCCGTGGCCGCGCCTACGGGCAGAGAGTCCATTGTTGCTGGCCTCTTCCTCTGAGTCTTTGTGCACAAGGTGGGCTGGGCAGTCATAGTCCCTGGAGCTGTCCACGAAGCCACCTGACTCCTGGGGTCAGATGGGGGCTGGCACTGCTGTCACCCGCCTTGGTGGCCTTCCTCTTGTCAGCCAGGAGTGGAGGCAATGTGAAGGTGGGGTAGGGGATTTTAGAGTCAGGGGCTGGGGCTTCTCTCCAGTGGTTGAGGAAGGGGGTGGCCCAGGCAGGGGCTTGGGATGCAGGAAGGCAGGAGGTTGAGAAACACTGGTGTCTGGGGGCCGTCGAGGTGGGGGACTCTGTGTGTGGGCAGGACATCTGTGAGCTCAGAGGGTCTCTGGGCAGGGAGAGAACAGGCCGCAGAGGCTGCTCCGGGGGGTGCCTGGCTGCAGGTGGAGTGGGGCTCTTGTCCTGAGCCCTAGGGACCCACTGAAGGCTGTGGAGGAAGATGTGACGGGACAAGGCCCCCGGAGAGCAGGATGGAGTGGGACGAGTGGGGGCTGTTGCAACAGGCCCGGTGTGGCCATGAGGCCAGAGTGAGAAACTGAATGAGCACTGAGGAGAAAGGAAAGGGCCGAGACCCCCGAGGCCTCTTCTTAGGACAACGCCACCTTCTGACCCACTCCAGGGTGGTCAGCTCCCCGAGAGTTGGGCTTGGCTGCAGCTGGTCCCTGGCTCCCGGAGCCCGGCCTGGCACAGGCAGAGCTCAAGAGCTCACACTTGGGGGAATGTGGGTCCACATGTGCCCTGGAGCCCTTCCTATGGCCCTAAACCGGCTCAGTTTCCTGGGAGCTGGGGTGACTCCCCACAGCGTCCTGAGCTCCCAGGGCTTTCCCCAGGCCCCAAGGACACAGTGCTATCTCCACTGCTCAGGGGCCCGAGGAGGGAGCTACCAGCCGGGACCTCACCCTCCACGTCCATCCCCTCACTGGTGTTGGTCCAGAACCATCCAGCTCTCCCTACAGGAGCAGGCAGCCTGTGACCGCCGCCCCAAGGCTCTTGCACCAGGCGAGGGTCCTCAGTCAGGTGGGGGCTCTGAGGAGCTGTGGGGGGTGGAGGTCTTCTCGTTCCTGAGATTTGTATCCAGGCCTGGCCCATGAGGGGCAACTGGGGTCCCTCCCTTGTGCCTGCTGCGTGCCCGGCACCAGGAGGAGAGCTGGCCCCTGCCCTGCCAGTGTGCAGACCCCAGAGGGAAGACGGGGACGAGGGGCCTTGGGAACAGGGCTGGGCAGATAGGGATCCTGAGCCTTCCTCAGAGTGTGTGAAGCCTCAGGTTCTCTGGTGAGGAGCGTTCACTGCTTCATTTCAACAGATACCCTCTGTGCATCCACTGTGCACCAGGCTCCAGCTCTGTCCCCTCCTGGGACATCCTCGCTGTGGCCCCCATAGAAGGCGAAGCCAGGCTCCTGCCCTCACTTGCTGGGAGGCAGCTCAACTCCTGGCATCTCCACCCAGTGCAGCCCCTGGGGCTAGCCCTCCCTGGGTATTTGGGTCTTCCAGATGCTGACTGTCCTCCTCCCTACCTCCCCACTCTTTTGCCTCCACTTAAATGCCTCTTCCTCCAGGAAGCTTTCCCTGATCCCCATGGCTGAGTTTGACCCCCCCACACTGTCACTCCCCATCAAGGCACTTGGCCCTGCATGGCCACTGGATGATTCCACATCTCACATTCCCCCCCTGAGGGCTGTGGGTGCTGAGAGGTCAGGGCCCCTTGTCAGGTGGATGGAGATGGAGGGGGGCATTAGACAGGGTGGGAGGGGAGCTGGGGTCTCCCCTGACCAGGTGAGGCAGGGGCATGTGGAGGAGAGGATAGCCCCTTGCCTGGAAGTGGACAGGCTCCCTGGGGTGTGTGTTAGGCTGGGGTGAGTGGGAGGAGCCCGCCTGGCATCACCTGGTATCATCACCACCTCCATGATCCAGCCCTACCCAGAAGACCCAGAGTCCTGAGCCCAGCTGGCATCCAACCAGTGGGCTGGCCAGAGCCTGCTGGCCAGAGCCTGTCTTAGCAGCCTGCCTGGAGACTGGGCCTCCCCAGACTCCCTGGGGGCCTAGGAATTCCGGCCTTCTGAGGCTGTTCTAGACATCATGGGTTGCAGAACCTTGAGGGGTCAAATGGCCCCACTTCCAGGGTCTGACTGGAGACCCCAACAGGAGCCCCAAGGTGGTAAACCTCAGAGAGCTCTAACAAAATTGAGTCCAGCAACCTCCCCTAGTGATTGATTACTGTGTCCTGAGCCAAAGTTCTGGGGCAAGGACTTGGTGAGAACAAAATTTGTGAAGTGAAAGCTAGGCAAGGAAACTGAGGCTTCACGAAGCTAGGTGGCTGGGCCAGGGTCACCCTGGCCAACAACATCAGGGCTGGATTCAAAGGCAGGCACCTGGCCCTGGGCTGGAATCCCCTCCATGGCCCAGTGGGGAGGTGAACTTAGACAGGAAGGGCAAATTCAGACTGAGTTTTATCCCAGGGCACTGGCCCAGCCCCAGCCCAACTATTCTTCCACCTCATGGTGCAGCCTTGGACAGCCCAACTATCCTTCCGCCTCGTGGTGCAGCCTTGGATGGTCCAGCTCCTCTGGCTGCACTTCCTCCCCAAATGGAGGAAAGCTCAGGCTGAGGTCCGGCCTGGAAGTGTTTGGAGCACACTTCCTCTTTTGCACTTGGCTTCCCAGTCTTGGCTTCCCACCTCTCACAGCCTCTTCATATTTTCCTCTCACTACACTAAACACTCCAAAGCTGGAAGGGACTGCTAGAACATTCCTTCTAAGGGATGGTGAACGGACCTGGGGGGTGAGCTGATATGAGAAAGACCCCTCAATTTACCACTTTGTGACTCATCCCTGACAAACAAAGTCCCCAAGGGCTTTGGGTACCAGCCGGGCAGCTTGGCCGGTCAGGGCTGGGCCTCTGCAGCAGCTCTCAGAAGCCTCCTATCCTGAAGATGCTTTTCCAGAGGGAGTTCCTCTGTTTGGTCACTCTCCAGGGCTTCTCTGTGCAGCTTGGAGGGGGCTGGGAGGACTGGCCTAGGTAGCTGGGTAGGAACCCCTCTTTCTTCTCTGCGTGTCCCAGGGGCCTTCTGGGGATGAGGACCGGGGAGCCAGGCAGAGGTGGGGTGATGGCAGAGCATTTTCCAGTGGGTCATCCCTGTGAGGCCTCGGGTGAAGCTGGCAATGGCCAGGCATCTCTGAGACTCATCCCTGCCCCTGAGCTCCAAGTCAGGGACCAGGACCTTTGCTCCCAGCATGGCTTTCCTTGGGCCAGGGTATGACTGTCCCCAGCCTCTCTCTCTCTCTCTGGGTTGAGGGGTGCCAGCCACTGCTTACCAATTTCCTAATTGCAGCTTATCCCTCTGGTGGGGGTGCGGGAGGGCAGCATGAGCCAAATGTCCACCTTCAGCCAGGGACGACAGCATGCGGAGGGGGCCGAGCCTGCCAAGCCTGGCCTGTCTGCGCATTTGCTGTAGGAGGGCTCCTGTGTTCCCTGGCTCCCAGGCACTGGGGCTGACCCTCTGCTTTTCCAGGTGCTCCTCATAGCCTAGGAAAAGGCACCTGTTACCCACCCACACCTTATTGGTACAAGCTCCATTTATTATAGCTGCAAGCTCTCCCCAGCCTGCCAAGCTGCGGATTTTTTTTTTTTTTTTTTTTTTTTGAGTTTTGCTCTGTCACCCAGGCTGGAGTGCAGTGGTGCAATCCTGGCTCACTGCAACCTCTGCCTTCCGAGTTGAAGTGACTCTCCTGCCTCACCCTCCCGAGTAGCTGGGATTACAGGCGTGCACCACCATGCCCAGCTAATTTTTTGCATTTTTAGTAGAGATGGGGTTTCACCATGTTGGTCAAGCTGGTCTTGAACTCCTGACCTCAGGTGATGCACCCACCTTGGCCTCCCAAAGTGTTGGGATTACAGGCGAGAGCCACTGCCCCTGGTCAGATTTCTTTCTTTCTTTCTTTCTTTTTTTTTTTTTTGCCTAAAAAATGTGGAGCCCTAAACTGCAGCTTTATTTACAAGATGAAGTGAAATTAAGGAACGTGACTTCCAGGCTGTGGCTCTGTCCTGGGTATCAGCTCAGGAGACCCTTCTTCCTCCCCAAGTCCGTGGGCCTGGATTCCTCTGTCAGCTGCCACTGTTCACCCCAGGAGGCCTGTGCTGCTGTCCTGGGGCTGGAGTCTCTCTCTCTCCTGGAGGTGCCCTGAGGCTTTTAAGATTCCTTTGTCCTAGGGCGATTGTCTTGTCAGAGTGGGTTTAATCTCTGCCCTCTCTTCCAGTTCTGCCCCCTCCAGGAAGCCCTCCTGACGACCCTGTGGCTCCACCAGACCCTCCTCCTCTCTGAGTCCCTGGGTGGATCCCGGGGGATTTCCGAGTTCTCCCCTGCGTGAGAGTCGACCCTTCCGCTTGCCCTCTGAGGCTGTCCGGGCCTGGAAGACAGAGACGGCCACTCCTCAGGTCCCCTGGCTTCTGCCCAGGCCTGGAACAGGCAGCCACTGGGAGAGAGGTGAGACTGTGATGGCTCATGGGCAGCTACTAGGCAAAACCACAACGACGGCAATGATGGTGATGATGGTGACGACAGTGACGGTGACAGGAACTGCTCCCCTTGGGTGCCCACGGCGGCCCCACACCTGCCTCTCCATGTTTAATCCCGCAGTGGCTGCTGGGCACGGGTTCTCTCCCCTCACCCCGTGTTCTCAGACAAGGACGCAGAGGTGCTGGGAGGCGCCTCTGTCTGTCCAGCTCCTGGAAAGTCTAGCTGGAGACGGTGCTGGAAGGTCGGGCAGGGGTGGCCGTGGGGCAGAAGGAGGCCTGGCGAAAACACACAATGTGAACAGCAAGGTGGCTCCAGTGCATGGGTTTGCTTAAGTCTCAGAGTTAGGAGCGGCCATCCAGGGCAGGCGGGGGCCCATCCCAGCATTACCTGGCCTCCCTGAGTGGCTTGATGGGGGGCAACAGTGGCTCTGAGCTGGGGGGCTGCAGGATCGGGGGTGCGTGTGGAAAGGGGGCACCTGGATGCTCGTTAAACGAAGCCTTCCTCATGAGACAGAGGCAGCAGCATGTTTCACCCAGTGCTATTATTAAAAATGCAACCAGTGCTTTCGTATGGAGAACAACCCACCTGCTGGTCAGCCTCTGCCCCACACCCTCTGGCAGAAGTATAGTCTGTGCCAGGAACTAGGGAGGGCTGGGAGTGATGGTGGTGAGGTCCTGAAGAAAATAAAAGGTAAAAACACAGGTCCTGTCCCAGAGTATCTTGGAGTAGGAGGGAGGGGCCAGGGTTGAAGAGCTGTGAAGCCAGGGGGACTTCTCGGAAGAGGCGGCATTTTGCTCAAGAGCAGTCTAGCATTTCCCTCCTACCATCACAGGTGTAATTTCCTTTCCCTGGGAAATACAAAACCCCAGTGTAAGGTGGGCGGACCCTTCTCTATCCTGGTGGGCAAAATTCAGACAGGTCTGGGGAGGATAGTCAGCCTCCAGGTCAGAGTCTACAGGACACGGCCCCTGTGGGTGTGCATGTGAGCCATGTGGGTGCTGGGCGGGGCAGAGAGAGGCCCAGAGCCCTTAGTTCTCTGTTGGGTGATGTCATGGTTTCGGCTCTGCCAGCTGGGCTTGGAGTGACCACTGGGCTGCAGGCATCAGCTGGCAGATGTCTGCATCCTGCAGACACAACATCAGAGAGAGGGGGAAGGGGGAGTTCTGGCGTTTCAGAGACCCCCGAGGACTCTCTATCACTCCTGTTTGCAGGGTGGAGGGGAAGGGCTGGCCTTGCAGGAAGCCTGGGGGAGGGCGCGTCCGGCTGGCTCTGCCAGATCGTCCCTGGCTGGGCCACCCAGGCAGGACGGCACCTCCCGGGCCAGCTGGCTCCTGTCCATCCTCGGTTTCCCTCCCTCCGCCCCTCATCATGGCCCAGAAAGTGGAGCAGGCGCTGGGCTTCGCGGTGCTGTGTCTGGAGTGAAGACCCTCTAGAAGGAGGAGCAGGGTGGGGCTCACGGGGCTCCTATCACCCAGCCCCAGCCGTGACCCACACAGACACATGGCAGGTCTCACGAAAGGTCATTCCACAGGCTTTGGACCAAATCCCCAAATTTGCTTCCTAGGACCTCTGTTGATAGAGCGTGGCTCCTCTCTGGGGTGGGTCAGCGCTCCACACACCTCGAGAGTTTACAACTCTATCGCTAAATTGAAAGTTGGCCTTGGTTTTAATTCCAAGGGCAAACCACATACTGTGGGGGGAATCCTGGGAATGCGTTTTAGGGTGATTGCCAGCAAATGTGTTTCCAGGACTCCCCACCCCTAGAGACGGCCCGGGTGGGTCCAGAAGCCCCTGGAGGACCGGCTTTCTAGAACTCTCTGCCCCAAGGTGCTCTGGCAGGTTCCCTCACACCAGTACCTGTCACCTCTGTGCAGCCGTGTGGGTTGTGGGCCAGCATCTGTCTCATCGCTGAAGATTTTGGGGGCTTTTGCAGGACCCGAGACCCTGCTTCCTCTTTCTGTTCGAATGGAGCCGCCTGGTGACCTGGCCTGGGGTGCGCTTGGTGCTGTGGTCTGGGGGGCAAGGGGCTCCTTGAGGCCTGGGGTCCCATCCATAAGATGATGTCACAAACCCACTCCCGTTTCCCGGCGCAGGGCCGGGCCCTGGGTTAGTGTGCTCAGCCAAGGAGGGGCCGAGGAAGCTCAGGAACCCCATCAGTCTCTCAGGTCCTACCTGCCTTCTGGGCCTTCCAGTGGGTCCTGGACACTATGTCAGTGTTCCATGCAGGAGCCCTCTCTCCCCGGGGCTCTCCAGGCACACTTCCAGCTGCCGTGGGCAGGGGTGGCCGCTGGGGGACAGAACACGGTCAGAGAAGCCTGGGCAGAGTGGCCAGCCTGGCCTTGAAGCCCTGCTCCAGGGCCCTGGCCCCTGGCCTGCTCCAGGCCCCGCACATAGGAAGGGTCCTTAGACCCTCGCACCCCACGGGAATCTGCTGCGTCGGCAGAGGGAGCTGGGCCCGGTGCCGCCTGGCCGGCCAGTAGGTGGTGTCTCTGGCCTGCTTTCCGGCGCCCGGCCTGCCTTTCCTGCTTGCTGGTCTGCCGGCGGCCGCCTGCACCTCTGCGCAAGCTGGGCACATCTGGAAATGTTTGATTTGATATAGTGTCGCTTTACATTGCAGAAATGAGCGTAAGCGGTTTTTTAACCCACCAAGTGAGAAATGTGATCTGGGTTTTACTGCCGACCCTTTAAATAAAAAACAGATCACTTATTAAACCATTATCTATCAAGGATGGGGGTGGGTGTCGAGAGTGGACGGGGATCGGGCGCAGATGGAAGGGATGCGGCCCCTGTCTCTTGGCTGATGGAAGGGTCGGGGGCCCGGGCCGCTGGCATGTCACTCCCAGGGGAGGAAGGAGGGAACCAGGTGCCCACCGCCTGTCCCATCCACCCTGTGCCAGCTGCTGCCAGTGGAGAGGCGACACTTTCCATGCTGGAGGAAGGGGCTTAAGGCTCACTGGCCCGGCTGCTTACTGGCCCTGAAACGGAGGCTCCCCATCAGAGTGGGAGGAGAGAGCTGCTGGAGCTGACCAGGCCAGAGTTGCTGGTCCCAGGGCAGGGGTCCCGAAAGCCACAGGAGAAGGTGTGGACCTGGCTGTGCTCAGGGGCTCCTTGGCATCCCTATCCTCAAAGTCCTCTCTCCCTTGACCTTAGCTTTTGAGCAGAGCTGGGTTCCCAGTTCAGGGCCTTTAACTCCGTCAGCCATCCCTGGGCTCGTCTTTCAAGAAGGGTTCCAGGATTTCAAAGGTGCCTCACATGGCCCTGCCACGCGGTGACTCGGTGGAGGGGCAGTCCCAGGGGTGCTGGGCTGAAGTGGACCAAACGCTTTGTCTCTGGCCATGGCCTCGTGTGTGGGTTCTGCGGATGGGCCTGTCGGTTGACCAGCACTCGGTCCAGGGGCCTGGGGCCCTTCCTGGGGTTGTAGACACATCTCTACAGCTGTGGGCCGGGCCCCACTCCACGGACTGGCATGAGCCTCTGCTGCCCACTCTGTGCCCGGCTCCTGGCCTGCTGGAAACAGGAGGAGCTATGGGAGCGTGGAAGGTGACCGGTCCCCACCCACATGGGCGTTTGGACTGTTCTGTGCTTTGAGTCTGGACCCTTCTTGGAGTGGGGTTCAGTCATCGCCGCCCTATTCCTGCAGTATTTTTGGTAAGTGACTCCCTTTCGCTCTGTGAACATGCCTTTGGTCAGCTGACCAGAGTCCTCCTGGCGTTCCTCCACCTGGACACACTGCAGATACACCCTGTCCGGTGTGAGCAGCACCCATTCCTCAGCCGTGGCACCCCTTGCTCCATCCTCCAAGAACCTGGGGACTGGTGTGACCCCGGGGGTTTCCCGAGCTAGAACCAGAGATGGTGTTGAGAAGATGGCCAGGCTGACCAGGCCCAGGGACAGAGGCAGAGTGGCCTGGAGCAGGCGGTGTTGAGGACCGTCAGGAGGACAGAGGCAGAGTGGCCTGGAGCAGGCGGCGTTGGGGACCGTCAGGAGGACAGAGGCAGAGTGGCCTGGAGCAGGCGGTTGAGGACCGTCAGGAGGACAGAGGCAGAGTGGCCTGGAGCAGGCAGCGTTGGGGACCGTCAGGAGGACAGAGGCAGAGTGGCCTGGAGCAGACGGCGTTGGGGACCGTCAGGAGGACAGAGGCGGAGTGGCCTGGAGCAGGCGGCGTTGGGGACCGTCAGGAGGACAGAGGCAGAGTGGCCTGGAGCAGGCGGCGTTGGGGACCGTCAGGAGGACAGAGGCGGAGTGGCCTGGAGCAGGCAGCGTTGGGGACCGTCAGGAGGACAGAGGCGGAGTGGCCTGGAGCAGGCGGTGTTGGGGACCGTCAGGAGGACAGAGGCGGAGTGGCCTGGAGCAGGCAGCGTTGGGGACCGTCAGGAGGACAGAGGCGGAGTGGCCTGGAGCAGGCGGTGTTGGGGACCGTCAGGAGGACAGAGGAGGAGTGGCCTGGAGCAGGCGGCGTTGGGGACCGTCAGGAGGACAGAGGCAGAGTGGCCTGGAGCAGGCGGTGTTGGGGACCGTCAGGAGGACAGAGGAGGAGTGGCCTGGAGCAGGCGTTGGGACCGTCAGGAGGACAGAGGTGGCCTGGAGCAGGCGGTGTTGGGGACTGTCAGGAGGACAGAGGCGGAGTGGCCTGGAGCAGGCAGCATTGGGGACCGTCAGGAGGACAGAGGAGGAGTGGACATGAGAGGACAGCATCCCGAGACACAGGCAAAGGAGATACCGTGCTGATGGTGACCAGGCAAAGCCGGAGGCCAGGTTCTGAGGACAGGTAACGCAGCATGGACAGAGCCCAGGAGGAAGAGTGGCAGGTGCCTACTGAGCTCGGTGGGAACTGGGCCTGGGGCCGGCTCTGCCGTAATTCCACAGGAATCTGCAAATCCCCAGGCCTCGTTGCAGGTTCTGTGGCCTGTCGTGAGACAGAGGGAGGCACGTGACCATGTCCACCCACTGGGCCTCGAGACCTCTGGGCTGGGCACTGCCTGGGCAGGAATGGGGTTCACGGAGAGCTCCCACCTCCAGGGCTGGCAGGGAACAGGGTGTGCGGCTCCCCAGGAGGGTTGGCTGCCACCATCTTTGCCCTCGTCACTCAACAAACCTTTGTGGGGTGCAGAGACCTGAGCTCGGGGGAGCCTCAGAGACACAGATAGAACCAGCACTGGTCATCTGAAGTCTGGGGACAGCTCCCAGCAGCGGGGCCCATCTGCGTCACCCACCTTCTCTGGGCAGGGCAGGCTGGCCCTGGGTGCTGGCTGCTGTGGGAGTGGGCCGGGGTGGCCAATGCATGGATCTCAGGAGACCGGTGAGGGTTGGGCTGTCCAGGAAAGGAGGTGGGCCGAGGGGGGCAGAGAGAACCCTGTAGTGGGGGGAGCATGCAGGCTGGGAAGGCGGGAACCCTGTAGTCGGGGGGAAGCAGGCTGGGAAGGCGGGAACCCTGTAGTGGGGGGAGCATGCAGGCTGGGAAGGCGGGAACCCTGTAGGGGGGGGAAGCAGGCTGGGAAGGCGGGAACCCTGTAGTGGGGGGGGAAGCATGAGGCTGGGAAGGCGGGAACCCTGTAGTGGGGGGAAGCAGGCTGGAAGGCGGGACCCTGTAGTGGGGGGGAAGCAGGCTGGGAAGGCGGGACCCTGTAGTGGTGGGGGAAGCAGGCTGGGAAGGGGCCTGAGGGGGGGGAGCGGCTGGAGGCGGGCTGTAGTGGGGGGAGCAGGCTGGGAAGGCGGGAACCCTGTAGTGGTGGGGGAAGCAGGCTGGGAAGGCGGGACCCTGTAGTGGGGGGAGCATGCAGGCTGGGAAGGCGGGAACCCTGTAGTGGGGGGAAGCAGGCTGGGAAGGGGGGGGGGGGGCGGCGGGAAGGGGGCCTGTAGTGGGGGGGAAGCAGGCTGGGAAGGCGGGGACCCTGTAGTGGTGGGGGAAGCAGGCTGGGAAGGCGGGAACCCTGTAGTGGTGGGGGAAGCAGGCTGGGAAGGCGAGGACCCTGTAGTGGGGGGAGCATGCAGGCTGGGAAGGCGGGACCCTGTAGTGGGGGGAAGCAGGCTGGGAAGGCGGAACCCTGTAGTGGGGGGAAGCATGCAGGCTGGGAAGGCGGGAACCCTGTAGTGGGGGGAAGCAGGCTGGGAAGGCGGGGACCCTGTAGTGGGGGGGGAAGCAGGCTGGGAAGGCGGGAACCCTGTAGTGGTGGGGGAAGCAGGCTGGGAAGGCGGGAACCCTGTAGTGGAGGGGAAGCATGCAGGCTGGGAAGGCGGGAACCCTGTAGTGGAGGGGAAGCAGGCTGGGAAGGCGGGAACCCTGTAGTGGTGGGGGAAGCAGGCTGGGAAGGCGGGAACCCTGTAGTGGTGGGGGAAGCATGCAGGCTGGGAAGGCAGGGACCCTGTAGTGGGGGGAAGCAGGCTGGGAAGGCGGGGACCCTGTAGTGGGGGAGCATGCAGGCTGGGAAGGCGGGAACCCTGTAGTGGTGGGGGAAGCAGGCTGGGAAGGCGGGGACCCTGTAGTGGTGGGGGAAGCAGGCTGGGAAGGCGGGAACCCTGTAGTGGAGGGGAAGCAGGCTGGGAAGGCGAGGACCCTGTAGTGGGGGAAGCATGCAGGCTGGGAAGGCGGGAACCCTGTAGTGGGGGGGAAGCAGGCTGGGAAGGCGGGAACCCTGTAGTGGTGGGGGAAGCAGGCTGGGAAGGCGGGAACCCTGTAGTGGGGGGAAGCAGGCTGGGAAGGCGGGACCCTGTAGTGGGGGAGCATGCAGGCTGGGAAGGCGGGAACCCTGTAGTGGGGGGGAAGCAGGCTGGGAAGGCGGGACCCTGTAGTGGGGGGGAAGCAGGCTGGGAAGGCGGGGACCCTGTAGTGGGGGGGAAGCAGGCTGGGAAGGCGGGACCCTGTAGTGGGGGGAGCTTGCAGGCTGGGAAGGCGGGAACCCTGTAGTGGGGGGGAAGCAGGCTGGGAAGGCGGGACCCTGTAGTGGTGGGGGAAGCAGGCTGGGAAGGCGGGAACCCTGTAGTGGGGGGAGCATGCAGGCTGGGAAGGCGGGAACC